ATTATAAAGTACTTAAAAAAAATAAAATCTATTGAAATGGGGTTCAATGAATTTCTTATTCATAAATTTTATTAAAATTCAATGTATTAAATATTAGTACGTACACATCTCCAGTTAAATGTTTCACATAAACCAGATTACCTTTCTAGTTGCGAAATCAATGAACAATAAGTAGTAACTATCTACATAATTAGCTTACAGCTACTTTGTACATACAGTGTAACTCGGCAGCAGACATTTCAGGTATAAGGAGAATTAAGTGTGGAGATACTTTGAAAATTTTTTGTTTACAACACCTTAAATATAATCAATTAAATTTTAGGAGTAATGGAACCACCAGGAATGGTAAGTATTTCTTCAAAGAAAAAAAAATCTCATTTCTGTTGAAACCAAATAACTCACAAAAAGACTTCAATTATACAAACTGAGTTTGCAACAGGATATTTACAAGGATCTGAAATTTTATTATAGCAAATATTAGCCACAAGCTACGCCAAGTTAAGTAAATAAACTGTGTTCGGAATGAACAATACTTGGCTTGATTTTTAAAAACAATTTTATCTTAAGTTCTATTTTTAAAAATTTGATAACATTTTGGCCCGTTTGTTTTACATTAAAACTAAAAGTCTAAGGAGAAATAATACCTTTGTATCACTCCTTCATTGAAAACCTTAAATTATCATATGTTTCCTGCTTGTTACTGTAATAATACTGAAGATTATACTTACTGCTATAACAGATGTCAAATTCTGAACTTTTTTTTCCAGTTGGTTCTTTTCTTTCCTCAGGACTAAACTTCTTTTCAATAGTTTTTGTTTCACATTTTCCTTTGCTACAGCAGCATCATATAAAAAATTGTATCATGAATTATTGAGACTATTACTTGCATTTCTTTGGAAAAGTTATTTTGTTATAAAAACTTAATCATTTATGCACCAATAATACAAATATAATATCATAAGCATTAAATAAGTTCATTCAACAATACAATAACAAAAAAATGTCACTTTGAAAATAATTTTCATACTTTATAAACAAAGAAGTATTTAGAAAAGAGCAAAATATTATAAAATCAATTTTTGTCTACAATTCAGGTTGATGCATTTGAAAATTAATTATTCTTAAACACCACTCTAAAGCATCCCTTTCTTGTACCAAAAAATAAATCTACTTACACTTTTAGAATGACTTGGTTAATTATCAATCATAGATAAATAGTATTTATGCCTAGATATATTCAAAAGTATAAGCTGCATAAAAACCCCAGACATAAAAAATGAAATAAAACCATCCCCAACTGGAAATTAGTTCAGACACAAGAGTTATACAGGGTACCGAGAATCACTTTAGGCTTCTATTATTTTGGAACTTGTTTTTGCCTTCTTTCAAACTAGTTTAACATCAGTTTCTTTTGGAGAACCAGAAAAACTTTAAGAATAATTATAAGGATTAGGAACTCCTACTGAAGTTAACCCATCCAAATGGTGTATGAATAGTTGTAGTGATTTGGAGAACATTTCTTTAACCCTCTGTGCACAGGTGGGGGTTAAAATGTTCAATGTCACAACTTTTTTACAGTCATATTCAAAAAATTATCAATGTATGTCAATAAATTTGGAATCAAAACATAGTATACAATTCAAGTTTGAATTTTATATATACGTTTTAATTTATTAATTTCAAAGGAAAATATTTAAATAAATTCTTAATCTTCACTTCTCTGTGTTATACAAGCCATTTATTACAACAGCAATTGTTATTGTTATGGTTATATAAATAGTATCCTGACTGCTACTGTGTTCGTTGTATCTCAGCTGGCCTGAAGAGCTCTGGATTTAGTGAAATGGATCATCAACATATATTGAATATAATGTGGTTGAAATACTATTATTATACACACTTTTAATTCTTGAAAACCTATAATGGACTAGATCAGTAATATAGTGTTAAAAATATAATGGGCCTAGCATAATGTCTTATGACAAATATAATTAATGATATTATTGATTAAGTTAATATATTTGGTTTCATTTTACTTACTCAGATCATGTCTGCCTGAAGTTAACAATTTGTATAGAGTAGTGCTGATAAGAACTGTTTCAGATGTCATGTGGTGAAGTTAGAAGATTTCAATCAATAAAGTTGCAATGTAGATAAAGATTTTACATAACACTAACTTATATACTATAAGTACCAAATTAAATTTCATAGTTTTCTTCAAGTATCTTAATCGCTTGAAGTCTTGGCTTAGTTTACACAATGCAAATGTTAAGCAAGATGTATTTAGGTATAAAACAATCTCGCATATACCTGCTTTCTGTGCTAGACTAGTGGCAGACACAATGGGATTCCGATGTTTATCTACCTTCGTAGGCAGAGAAACAGTTGTTGTTGTTACCTGTGTGACAGATGCCGATTCAGTTACTTTGGTTAAATTACTAGGTACTTTAAGAAGGTCTGAACTGGTAGAGTTGGAAGCTGTAAGAAAGATAGGCACTGTGATGGCACATGAAGTTATGGCTGAAACAGGTACTGTTGTCACTGCTGATGTAGATATAGACAAAGTAGGCTGTGTTATAGATGAAGGGATAAAACATTTACAGACTGGTAATGATTTTGCCTCAGATGATATATGTGTATCATTTAGTTGACTTGGTTGGCTAGGCTTGCACTTGGGACAGGACCAACCATTAGCTGAAACTGATGACAGAGAAGGCTGCACACAATTTAAGTGATAAGCCAGACTGCAAGTATCACATTTAACTAATTCTTGTGGTTTCTCACATATGACACACATTTCTTCACGACTGTCCTGTTGAATACAATGAAAGTGTTATACATACACCAATCCATTAGTTACAACAAATTATACTCTGAGATACACTAATTCAAATACCACCTGATAATTATCATTTCACTGTATAAATGTTTATAAACAATTTATTTTCTTTATATGACCTTTATTAGCATAATCATCTGGAAGATATTAAGATACACAAATGTTATGTCTCTTAATCTTAAAACAGGTTTAAGGAGCACAAACTTCTTTAATGCAAGTCACAGAAATTGATAACTTGAAAAAGAAAAAAAAACAATCCTAAAAGAAAAGCCCCAAATGTGAATTATTTAACCATGTCAATGTATATATCTCTGTAGAGTTATTTCAAGCAATATTTCGATAAAACCCAAATTCCAATATCGTTAACTCAGACCTTGGTTTAAGTAACAAGTAGAGTTGTTCAAGATGTACACACATATTCATATTCATTCTATTAACAGATACAATGTCTGGCCCCTATAATATTATTATTATTCATTTTTTATTTTATTTCTTTAGATTTACTATTGTTTCAGTGACTCTAACCTGTTTAACAATACATTTACCATGCTTCACCATGCACAGTTCCACTATATTGTTGGACTTTTATATTCTTTTCGGTTACTCATTTAAAATCAGTTTTGTAACCTGTGATGTTCATAGCCCATTGAAGAAGGCATTAACTGGGTAGAATAAAGAAACATTTATCTGATATTCTTTGTAGTTTTCATTCAAAATGTCTTTTTAACTGCTGCATACCTCAAGCAGCTGGGGAATGAAAGTGGTAGTCATGCTATACTATATGATATGAAGATATACAAGTCAATCCACTAAATACAGCAGCTATAGATTTCTGTGCAATTGGCCTGTTGAAACATGTACTGGAAAACTTGTTTTTGTACATTATATGGCTTATAGAAAACACACTGGGAGAAGGGATGTGCTTTAGATATGACAGCCTCATGATGGAGCCTTGTGCACTGGAAACTATAATGCAAGGCTATTGTCAAGATACAATGTCATCAGACAAAGCATGACAAGATGTGTTGAGATCAACTGTAACAACTTGGTGAGACTCAAAAATCATCGTAATATAAAATACTCAACCTCTGTACAATATCTGTATGAACCCATTAGAATACTTTTATAAAAACTGTAATGAGTGTCATTTTTGGTTACTTCCCAAGTAAGTGCTTCCTTTTGTTAATTTTAAAATTTGCTAGTCTCTGTATAGTTGATATTTTAAACTTCTTATTCATTCTGCTTGAACAATATTAAATAAAAATATCTAATTACTTCAAAGGGTGTTTCTGCAATGTACTTGGGTATAACTTAAATGTCATGTTTGTAATGACCGTTCCTTTTAAACTGATCACCAGTTCTGAACCTTTTCCAGCCCAATGTCTGCTTCTGAATTCATGAATATTAATAACTTGTAAAGATTACCATATCTGAAACACAGAAGTCACTATAAATTTTTTTAGTAATTTTACAATCTAGGGTGAAATATAAATAACTACATGATGCAGCGATATACTATGTCAATAAGCCTGTAACCATTAAGCCGAAAGCCAGATTTCAGTCATGCATATTCTACACGCTACACAGATTCTGCAACTCTACATTCACCATTATTTCTGTTTTGTTCTTATATCATGTTATTCATTCCACGAAATAAGAAATTGTTACAGAACAAAATGTTTATAAACATTGTATTAATTTTTTATTTCTGTACAACATAATATTTGTTTTTCAAATTCATTCTAACAAACACAAATTTTTGAATAGCAACAAATACAATCATAAGCCTAATAACATCACAAGGTGAAAGAAAATAGTGCAATAAAATATGTACCATTAAAATTAATATGCACATAGTATTTATCTTACTATACCATATTTATAAACGATACCTCTTTATAGAAATTATGTAGAGTTGTTTAAACAAAAAAACACTAGTCTTTAAACTCATACCAGGGCAAAGCCTTCCATAAGGTTTCATTAGTTTCAAATTATCAATGTGATTTTTGTAAAATGAAGACCAAGTGCAAAAGTAATTACTTTAATAAAATAAACAAACAAATTTAATTTATCACCTTTACATAACCCCATAAAAAATTAAAATTAAGAAATAGATTAGTTTTTTGAAGCCACGTATTCAAACAAAGGCTCTGCATAATAACTAAAGGTTTAGAAATTTACAACACTTGTATGGAAGAAATGAAACTCTATGACAAACAGGGTACACAAAAGAAAATGAATCTCAAATTGCAGATGAAATATTTATGATCTTATAAGTTTTAGAAGTTTGTAAAACATGTATAGGGCAGACAGTTTAATTTTACTATTTTTGACACAACCAACTTCAAATATTCATTGTTTTTTGAATATTTGTGGTAGAAATAAGCAACAAACAAATTAAAAGGGCACAAATTTTCACCTATCTTTTGTATGTTGACAAATTTTATTTGTGCAGGTGTAAAGTCTTAATATTTTTACTGCTCAAATAAAAAAAAAACAATTTTGGGGTAAACAATCAAAATAAGAATGAATATTTAAACATTTTTTTTTAAATTACTTTATTCAAAACAACTTTTTAGTAAAATTCATAACAAAATGAAATTTAAATCTGGGCATATCATTTGTAGGTGACTTAAGGGATGTTCGACAGATGTTTTGAAAACTTAATTTTGTTATATACCCTCATAAAAAAACACAAGGCTAGATAGGGTTAGAGAACTACAACATCAAGTGTTATCACTAATCTTATTGTGAAATATAATAAAAACTAACATACATTGGGTATATTTACAATGTATTATATAAAAATATATTAAATCTCTTAAAAACATGAATCGTCACTTATACTTTGCCATATTTTTATGTGGTAGTCTCTATATTTAATGCTATAATCTTACTTCTGGAGACAAATGAACTATTAAACTCGTGTACTTTGGAACAGCATCAAGTCTTCAAAGCTCTGGTGAATTGATTTGATGTATGTGTTGTATGATTTGTTTTATCACATTTAAAAAACACTTCTGGATGAAATAGTTTAAAACATCAGATGAACTTTCTAAACATTATGTACTTAGCTTCTGCAACTAATATCTTATTCTTATGTATTTGCATCTTGCAAAGTTCAAAAAAGATTTCACTGTGATATGTTTTTTTAAGCAACAACTAGAAATACTTACTTTTGTTGTAGATTTTAATTACTGACTGTTATATCTTCCAACATTCTTCTCAAATATTTCAATAAAGTTTATATCTTTTAAAATAATAAATTTTGTCTTTCTTTTGATTTGAAAATTTGAAAAACACTGGTCTTGTGATATTATTGTAATCTAACCTGAAATTTACAGAATGTTACATGTAGAGCCATCAGAATTATGAAGAGAAAGCAAGCAACACAAAAGTGGGCGAATCCTTGCCCCAATCTGAATAAGTTCAAAATGCAACAAACCGAACTCACCTCACTCAACCTAAAAAAGATATTTCCCGGTCTGGGATTACGAACTGAAATCCTAACTCTCCAACCTGAGAGGCAAGGCAACACCTCCTTGCCCCTAGAATTAAGAGGAGGATGTGGAACAAACCAAGTTCAACCAATGGCATAGATGTTCTGTGTGCAGAATGATGAGGTGTTGAGGATCATCAAAATAAAGAGAATGATCAAAAAGGAGAGTCGTGCACAACTCAACCAGATAGTAAAGTGTCATCTCTGAATTGGAATTATGAGAAGGCTCCTGTGTAGGCTGATCCTGCTCCTACCATACATCTAGGAAAACCATCCAGGGTTATTAATAGCTTTGCCCTCTTTTCCTTGAGTGGAATAATGAATACAAGCATCACTCAGAAGGAATAAACCTCTGTCCGTCACTGCACGAACTGGAAACTGGAAGTGATAAGAACTCCCACACTCCATTAGGAAAAATGGAGGAATACTCACGTTGGGTAGCCCCTGGGAATGATGCTCCGGAGACAGTGCAATAGGTGAAATACAATCCCTACTTTGAAAAGCAAACCAACCCCACTTTATTCAATCTAGGGGTCAGCAAGGATGGGCAAAATCCCCTTAAGCTTTACTCATGACAGTCCATGAGTGAAGGTCCAGTAGTGTATTTGTCTTTGTGTTATAATTGTGTACCATTCAGAAAGCACACAAGGTGGTCTTATTGAACACCCCCATCTCAACAGAACTTGTTGCTATCAGGAAATTTTAAATCAGTTGACTGGTAGCAAGTGCAGATTTGGAAATAAGCATACCTGACCAGGCAACACCCGCTACAGAGTGGGATCCAAATGAAAATGATGAGAAGGATTCTGAAAAAGAATAGAAATAAACATAAAAGAAATGAAGTCAGCAACCTCTTTTAGAAATGAGCAGAATAGCCAAGGGGGGTAGCACAAAACCTTCCAAGGAAGCAACCGCCAAATCACGTAATTAATGGGATATAAATGGAAGGAAGATGAGTAGGAGAGAAAGCCTTATCCTCTTCTATAGCCACTGACATTCTGGGAAGAAACAACCTATTGGGATACAACATAACATAAGTGAAATGGTAAAGAGTCATGTGAACATGAATTGCAAACACATACAAACGTCGACGTCCACCAGCTAACAAAAGAAGAAAAATAAGTCTTGATAGAAAGGTGATATAGGGAACATGATGCCGAAAGTTCAAAAAGAGGATGATATAGGGCATGGAGAATCACTAAGATATCCCAATTAGAAACCTGGAAAGGACATTAAGAAACAAAAAGAAACCTAAAATTTTAAATAAGTGAACATACAATTTGTATAATGAAACATCTATTTCAGCTTTGGCTGAACACGTTAATGAAACACATCATAATATCAACTGACTAAACACTAAAATCATAAGTGAACCAGACCCAAAGTGCTATGAATATTCATGAATTCACTGAAATAATACAGAGTTGAAAAATAGGAACAGCATTAAACAGACACAAATCAATATATATATAAAACACAATTGGTCAAATTTGTTTATCTTCCACACCCTTCCCCTTCTTGTTACTTGAATTTTGAATATTGTAACCTTAACCCTTTCACCCTGGGTATCCTTTACTACACATGACAGAACATTTTAGTGTCTTTTGTTTATGTTATACCAATTAGTAGAGCATAAAAATCATAGCTAATAATCCATATTTTAATAGGATATAAATTTTGCATTCCTACTTCTATAAGGCAATATAAAAAAATCCTGAATTTCCCCTAGTGTGATACATGTGACATTTTCTCCAGGCATCTTGTCTTCCCTGTTTTATTAACCACCCCTTGAAAAGGTACAAAACTGTAAGTAAATTACTCTCTATAGAATTGTCACTGCTCAAATGAACCATAATTACAGCCTTCAATTTTGTTTGGTTACAGAGCTATAAATATAAAATCACACCCCTCCTGCCACACCTACCTATCACATCATCTCTTTCAGGCTTTGTCAATAGTTCTCTTTTACGTTTAATTATCCATTACCTTTAACCAACAGAAAATCAAGGTTTTCATCTATCAAATGATGTATTGTATAATGTTGTGTTCTGAACAGACAAGCGTCAATTTTGCTCAGAGACAAGTTTTATTCCCATGGGATAGTTAAAGACTAGATTGGATGAATTTGTAACGGCTATTGTCGTATAGTTAGAAAGCCAGAAAAATTTTGAGTTAGGGGAAATTCTCTGCTTTTTGCATGTTATTAGTCTATATTCTTTGATGCATTTCATTAAATAAATTTATTTAGTGCACTACTACCGTTTGTATAAAATACGTTAGCTTAAGTACAATCGACAACATTGTAAGCTGTCTGAGATAAGTACTAACATATACGTTTCACCTTATTCTTTTTTTTTTATTCATAGAGTCACACTTTGTTTTTTTAATAACATCTCATGAACAGTTGTGAAATTTTTAAGTTGAATCAGTGTATCAATACAACACCATATAAACCATTAAAACTTCATGAGAATTCCAATTTATTACTCTTCTTTTCTGATAGACATTAAAACCTTATTTATATTCTTAAATATATATATATATATATATATATCACAAAACCTAATTCAGTTTATGATATAATACTTAACAGCACCTACCCTAAAAAGGAACTTGTGAACAATTATTGAAGAGGATTCACTCCTGAAACATGGTTTGCTTTTATGTTTTTGATGAACCTAGGATTTCTTTCTTGCATACTATATGAAACCAAAGATTTTTTTCTACGTGTTTTATTTTTGTGCATTACAACCACCAAGCTTTGATACATATGAAAATCACAAGGTGAACTGGTATGTGTCTGGACTTAGTTTGAAACTGAACAAATCTGGAAAATTACTCAAGTTCATATAACTTCAATATTACTTAGAAAAAAAAAATTACAAAATATAGAAAAAAAATATATCTTACTATGACACTCGATTTGATGGGAAGATGATAACCATTTGGAAGAGATTCTTCTGTGCAAGGAACATAATTTTTAGGTGTGATGGAAACCAATCGAGGACGTCCTAGAAACATTAACATGTTTGATGACTTTGCTAATACATTAAAATTAAAAAATAAAACATTTTAAGTTTATGTGCAAAAAGAAGTTATACATCTTATTACAGTCTTTTTATGTTTGGGGTTTTGTTTCAGCTGTAAAAAAAACTATTACTATTTTTATGATTTCTAAAAAATGTACATAAATTTATCAAGAAACTTTTTTTTCAATCTTACATATGCATATACACTTTACCTACTTGTATTCATGGCTCTAAGAAACCAGTCAACAGATGTGAAATATTATGAACCCTGCCAATTTAGAAATTAGGTACACACATGGTTTGAATCTATTATCTGTCAGTCAGATGCTTTATGCAACTAAGTAAGCATATCTGAAATGTTGCAAGTCTTTTTTTTTATTTCTTTGGCAGTATATGGATTTTGAGCTTTAAAAAAATAAATGGAATGAAAATATAACTTGAAAAATAACTTTTTGTTTAACTTTCTTTCCTCCCTTTTGGAATTAGGAAGGTGCATTAACCAACCAAGCTACTGCACCTCAAGTGTCAGTTTTCACTTCATTAGTTATTAAGGACAGACTTTAACAAGAACTTGGAGCTATGCCATTCAGAATGATGTTTCATATGAAATTTATCTGACATATGACCCTTTGAGAGTGAATTTCATATCTACCTTTAAAACAAAAAACAACTTCAAATAAATAATTAAAAATAAATTCATCATCATCACAGTGCAAAACATTCATTTCTTGATAATACAAAAGTAATCTGATGTGATATAAGAAGCCATGAAGTTTAGTTATAAAATGCACAAAACAGCTTCCAGAGGATAACCGAAAGTTAATTTATTAACACCGCATCACACAATTATTTTCTTTAAGGTTCTTTATCTTTCATTGACAAATATACTCATGACTGTGTTTTAATTTACACATAACTTGATATTATTAAGTTTTAAATTTGTCTCACTGTAATAATCATTAAATTACATATATTTATGTTTACTCATTTAAAAAATTAAACAGTTCAACAATGAGATAACTTACATAAAACACATGGTGTTTCTTGCTCAGAAAGCAAACCCAAGTTTGTTTGTTTGTTGTTTTTTGGTTAAAGGAGATGAAAACGATAGGTAGGATAAAATTCCTGCTCTACTAATTCAAACCACATCAATTTATTTACATGTATCATATAGTTATAGGTGCTTCCTTAACAAGGCATGTGGATAGGATAGTCTGTGAGGTAAATAGGAAGAAAAGAATCAGATTATGCTATCCAGGGGCACAGGTGGAAGATATAACTGACAGAGCAGGAGATATAATAAAGGGGGCTAGCAGAAATGTAGTTTTTGTGATGCATGTAGGGGCTAATGACGTAGGGAAAGGTGGGTCAGAGGAGCTAATTAATAAGTACAAAAGGTTGATAAAGGCAGTTAAAGAAAAAAGCCATAACTTAATTTTGTCAGAGATACTGCCTAGTAAAATTCAGTGGTATTGATATAGTAACTTATGATTTTTTGTTATTTCAAAATGTATATATAAAATGTTAAAAAAGTATTTTGTTTACCATTCTCCACATGTAAAATCTGATAAGGCTTAGCAACTGACGACAAGCAGCAAACGAGTACAAAGTTCATAATTAGAAGAGATAATTGTTTTCTATACTTCTTTATTTACTATTATATGTTCTAAGAAAAATAACTGAAATTTAAAAACTTATTTGTAAATAGAAATAATGTATTATAACTGAAATTTGACTGTATTTTACAAAATACTGGTCCACTAGAATACAGCCAAGACAGCTCACTTTGTAAAGACCAGTTTTATATTGGATACAGTAACATGAGTGAACATGCCGTATCATTCAACTTCTGTAATGTTAGTCAGACACTGCTGAAAGGTCAATAAAATAAAAATAATAAATTTATTTTTAGATATGTAAAATATTACAAGATTTAAGCAATTTAGACTAAACATTTGTGGTTTCGTGTTATAATTTGTTCTAATTCTAGAATGAAAAAGATAATTTATATCTATTTACTATTTTTTTTATGGTTGTTACAAGGTCAGTTAAACTGACTAAACCCATACAGAGATACAATAGTGAAAATAACAGATAAAATATAGTT